CAATAATTAAATTGTGTAAAATATAAATGATAAAAACATTTCTCTTTATGAGTTTCGATTTAAAAGGCAGCATTTTTAAAGAAAGAATAAGTTAAAAGTCTTTAAATAACAGAATCTTTGAGTGATATTTTATTTAGATAGCATTAAACTTTTTTAGGAAGATTTTCACCAAAGAGGAAATTGGTTTCTAATAAATTAAAGGAGATATAATAATAAAACATCAGATATTTAAGTGGGATAATAAATTAAGTGCTCTTCAATTTATTTTTATTTAAACAAATTCTTTCTATAAATTTTTTAAGTATCATTTCTATTTATTAATTTTTTTCAAGATAAAAACTTTTTACAAGCAACTTCATACTTGACTGATATTTCTTTTATAAATTCATTCTTTGCTAATCCATGTATAATATTAATATTAAGGTTAACATTAATAATAAGGATGATACTTAAAGAGCATCAATCAACAACAGCATCACCATAAATTCATAATGATAAATAATTGAACCTCAATTTTGAGAATCTCTTTTTCTCTAAAAAGAAATTAAATCCTACTATAATTAATTCAAAGTGAAATTAGTATAGTGAACTTTTAAAAAATTGATTGCAAGATTCAAAGATTGTGATAATTTGATCCAAACCTTCGTATAATAAACCTAAAAGAATCAAACTGTCATCTAGAGTATTTATCCCAGCATTGTTTTAATTAATACGATTAAATATTTATTTGTGGCCTGAAAACAATTTCAATTTTTATTGAAATGGAATACTTTTTTACTCATTTAGGATTATAATATCATATTTAAATTAGTATTAAATAGAAAAAACTCTTAATATTATTTTTACTTTGAATATTTTAAGATGAAATTAGTATATCATTCTATCTAATTAATATTTGTTAATTAATTTTCTTTAGACTAAAGCACTTCACAAAAATTTATTTAATTCTTAATGAAGGAGTATTATATTCTGTTTACATAATTAGGATTATAGTTTAGATAACCAATTCATTATTATTATGTTGAAGATTTATATTTAATATTTATTGAATGAATTTAAGATTTAAGTTTATGGTAAAAAAATTCTGGTTATTAACAGTTCTTCAGTTAAATATAGGGTTAAAGTAATTGTTGAACTTAGATCTATCAAAATCTACTTGAAGACAGGAGTGAAAATTGTAATCAATGTTTGTTATTTCCTTTCGAAATACTAAAAATAAATTGTGTTGCTACATTATTATAAATATTGCACAAATTTTCTCTTGGCCTGATGAATATTTTAAAAAGCCTATTTTTTGCATTTGATAACAAGGTGCTCGTTTGAAACCATTATATATGAAAACTTTTTTCAAACCATCACTCACGGTATATTTTAGAAATTAACATTTAGATTGGTATTATTACAGCTACTACTATTGTAAGGACTCAATTTGCTATTCTAACACAATTTATGGAGGTTATCACTATTTTGGCTATTATTCATTAATATTAAAAACATTTATGCTCCAACCACATTATAAACTAAGAATAAAATTTAGATTCTGGAGGTTCATTATAATTCAATTTGAATTGTAGATTGTATTATGATATATTTATAGAATTGACTATTGGGATGGACATCGATTTGTAGTTTATGTAGATAACATTTAAAAGCATAATTAAATTATATTATAACTCCTCAGGTTTATATAATTATTGCGGAGACTCTTATTATAATGACAATACTTTTATACTGGATTTAAATACTTATCATTAAAGCCCAACTGCCACAATATTAATATGGGGTTAACAATGGTGGGGAATTTCAGAATTTTAATTATTCATAGAAAAATGTCCTGATGGTTGTGATTCTTGTGATTAGAATGGATGCTTTAATTAAATATTATATGCTTAATTTTTTACTGCTAAATCCTTCACCTAAGTTGACTTTAATGAAGGATGGCTATCTAGTGATTATTAGATGTATAATTCTCTTTTTAATAGTGCAGGTATTTTAACAATTTATACTAGATTACACAAATCATAAATTTGTATCATTGTCTTCGACTAAAACAATAGATCTAGCGGCTCATAATGCAGTTAGTGTATCCCTGAAAATAATAACAGTCAATTTATATCACAAATTTAGCATATTAATTGATGATTAGTTAGTAGTTGTTTCAAATCTTAATCGTTAAGTACTATATTATAGTAATTCTGACTGTTAGTATTTGATCATAAGTTATATTTATATCTATTAATATCCGCATAAACATAATTCAATTACTTTAAAATTTAATTGAAAGGTTGGTCTTATTATACTTCAGATTACTCTAGATATTTTGGAATTAGAGATTTTTAATTATTTATAAGACCAATTTTAAATGGCGATTATTGCTATGATAATAATATCTATCCTTTTGATGGATGTTTTGCTGAGATTTATGAATGTGTTGAAGGTTGTGCAAATTGTGTAAGAAGTGCATGTTTTGAATGTTAAGAAGGATGGCAATATTATGAATATACTAAGAATTGTTTACCAATATGCGGAGATTCTATCATAACTTATTTGAAGAATGTGATGACGGTAACACATATCCATATGATGGGTGTTATTAATGTAAACACTCCTGTTAGTAAGATTGTATATTGAATTAATTTGGTAATTGTTTGAAATGGAAAACTTCATACTAAGATCTTGAGAATAGTACTTAAAGTAAGAATTTGAAATTCAACCTACCGATTACATAGACCGATCTAAATCACATTTAGTGTTAAGATTTTTATGATTCCTTAGAATGCCATGAGTATGTAAATGAGTTGGAGTTGTTATTTCTAAGTTGTGATTCCTAATATATGATGAATGAAAAGAAAAAATTAGTTGGTTAAAAGAAATGTGGAGATTTGATTACCACATGTGATGAGGAGTGTGATGATGGTAATAAAGTAGAGCATTATGGTTGTCACCTGTGTAAATATTCATGTCCATTGAATTGCAGCGAATGTTAATTTGGAAAATGCAAATAATGTTTACCAAAGTACGAACTAATATATGGATAATGTAAATATATTTGTGATGGTTCTGAGAGTTAGGAAGATTAAGAATATATAAGTTGTTATAATAGAATAACTAATTTGATTGAGAATGGTCATTACTAACATAATCTCTTTAATAATTAAATTCTAAATATCAATTGATAAGTACTCTAACATGCAGCATATAAGATTTTGGAATATTTGGATATTTTTATAATTAGAATAGCGGCTATTAATAATTTTAAGGAAAGTCTTTATGATAAATGTCTATAATGTAATGAAAATTATTTATTGGAATTTAAGTATTTATCATGCATTTCTTTATGTAGTGATGGGCTTTTAATAGAAAAAGAAGTACGTGATGACTAGAACAATATCTAATTTGATGGATGCTACAAATGGTAGGAAAGTTGCTTGTTGGAATGCTTAAATCGTGATGTAAACAAATGTTATTAGTGTCTTGATGGTTGGCAGCTTATAGATTATGGCTGCTATTAATATTGTGGAGATGGTTAAGTTGCTCAATCTTCTAGGGAACAATGTGGTGATGGAAATTATGATTAAGGAGATGGATGTTATTAATGTAAATTTGAGTGAGTACCTTATTACAGATCCTGTGCTGATAGGGATACTCGTCTGGTTTGTGAAAAATACTTTGAATTATCTAACAATTCTTGTTGACCAATATGTGGAGATGATAATATTGTAGATGAATTAGAGGAATGTGAAGATGGAAACAATATTCCTTATGATGGTTGCTTTAATTGTATTTTTTAGTGTGAAAAAGAATGCGAAATTTGTGGTTAAGGAACCTGTGTATAGTGCATAGATGGGTACATAATTGCAAAGGATTATTGCGAAGTTAATAATTAAACATTCATCGATAATGATAAGGATGAAGTTGAATAAACTTAATGTGCTAATGCAATGTATACTAATAATGAAGAATGTGATGATGGGAATAAAATTGATGGCGATGGTTGTTCTGCTTATGTCAGATTGAAATTAATTGGTTTTTTAATAACTAACTCAATTAGATTAGCATTTGTACTCCTAATACTATTATAAAATTGTAATACCTTAATCAAACTTAATAAAATTAATACATTTAATACATTTAATTATCCTTTACAAATAAAGTTAAATTAAATGAAACTATTTTAAATTTTACTGATTAAATTAGACCATCTATTCCCTCAATTGAACAAAGCATATATAATATTACTATAATTCCTGTAGTTGAGATTGATTAGACTATTCTACTTGATGTTATCTATGAATTTTAAATTGAATTTTTGGAATCCCTTGCAACAACAAATATTTTCTTAACTGTAGAAGTTTATGCTAATTTAGAAGACCAAAACCAAATGAAGGTCAAAACATCACTCTAAATTATCAATTTATAATTACCAAAAGTCTTGAACAAAATTAATTGTAAACTGCCAGTAATTTTTAAGCCCTAGGAAATTGGATGATTTATTGGATTAGCTAGTAGTGTCTCTTTTTGTTCTTATTTGGAAACCCTAGTTAATGTATGGAAATTTTAGATACTTTATAAATTTAATCATATCTGAAATTCATATAGCCAAATGTTAATTATTCAATTTAATAATGATTTAACTGTAAATGTCGAATTTCCATAAAATCTATAAATATATTTTGAGTCTTCAGATTTTGTAACTATTAATCCTGTATTGGTGAAGTTATAAGTGGATGATTTTTTATAGTAATTAATTGGATATGAATATTTAGAAAGTATTGGTAAGCTTTTTGAATATCAATTAAACGCAAATTTGTTAGTCAATATTTATGGATAGTTTATTTAAATAGTTTTCCTAAGTGGATTGTATATTGTTATAAAATACTATTAAAAAATTATCTATTCATATTTTTTTGGCTCCAAATATATCTACTATATTAGACTTCTTAATAATAAAATAATTCAATATATCGGTATTAAATTTTATTACCTGAATAAACTATTTTTAAAATAAATGAGATATTTAATGAGTACTGATCAATAAATAAATGCTGGATTTATATAAATTAGTTTTTTGATATTAGCTTTATTTTCTCCCTTGGTGAGGTGCGGGTATTAATTTTATCTTAAATCTAAAACATTTTATTTGAAACAAAAGAAGAAGAGAGCCCCAGAGATAATGAATGTTAGAGAGATATTTGTGATAGCTGAAAGGAATGAGTGATTATGAGAAGATATCATTTGTTATATAATTTTATAAAATGTTATATTTACTCAAACACAAAGAATTAAAATAGAATTCAAATTTTTTATTTTTCTAATCATTCATAATTATAATCCTATACTTCATATATTAGTTTCTTTACAATTTAAATGGTTTAAGAAATTTCAGATGCATTAGCGAAATTTACATACAAAAGGAAATTGAAATTTTTCGTCACAGTATTTTATTTTGATATAATAGGCTAATTAACTGTTTTTCATCATAGCAAAATGAACTCATATTCTTTTATTGCATCTACCAAATACTAACTCAAGTGAATATGAATTTTGTATTTCAAATAATTGATTAATTAAATTATCACATGTTTCGATTAGGCTTTGTAATTTAATTTTAGATAATGACAGTATTTACAAGGATATAAAAATTATATTTGTTAGAAGATGCATATGTTTTTTTACAAAGGCAAGCACTTATAATTCCAACTAATGACACTGAAATTGTTGAAAATGAATTTTCAAACAGTTAACAATTATTAAGTAATGCCAAAATCCTATCAAAAATATTATCAAGTTTAGATAGGAACTTAACAATACCATAAGATTTTGTTAAGGTTTTTACATCATTATAATATGATAACTCTGCTATTGATATAAGTTTTTCGAAACTTGGTTCGATCTATTGTAAATATAGAATAATGAATTAACTCATAGATGAAGAACTTTTAATTTTTGAATCTTACCAATATACTCTTTTAACTCAAAATAACATGTGCGAATAATTAAATAATATTTAGATTAATAAATTTATTGTATAATGTAAAACTTCGCAAGCATTGATGATTTCAATGATTAATGATTAAAGTGAAATCTTAGATTCATTACTTATCTAACCTATCTACAATTAAACATAGCATTCCATTTTTAAAGACAAATATCTCATAATCTATGAAACATTAGATTCATTATGTGCTTTATTTTTCATTACATGGTCTACTGATTAGAGCTATCTCTAATTATAATAATTAGTTTTGAATGGTTAGGATTATATGTCTAATTTTATCAAAGCAATATTTTAATAATTTATTATTCATACATGATCTTGCACATAAACCTCATGGATTATACTATTATAACTTAATNTAATGTTCTTTACATTATCATGTTTGATTTATTGTTCTGACTTTTAAAAGTATTTTTCAACTGATCAATAAATAAATGCTGGATTTATATAAATTAGTTTTTTGATATTAGCTTTATTTTCTCCCTTGGTGAGGTGTGGGTATTAATTTTATCTTAAAGCTAAAACATTTTATTTGAAACAAAAGAAGAAGAGAGTCCCAGAGATAATGAATGTTAGAGAGATATTTGTGATAGCTGAAAGGAATGAGTGATTATGAGAAGATATCATTAAAGAATTAAAATAGAATTCAAATTTTTGTTTTTCTAATCATTCATAATTATAATCCTATATTTCATATATTAGTTTCTTTACAATTTAAATGGTTTAAGAAATTTCAGATGCATTAGTGAAATTTACATACAAAAGGAAATTGAAATTTTCGTCAATAATCAGTATTTTATTTTGATATAATAGGCTAATTAACTGTTTTTCATCATAGCAAAATGAACTCATATTCTTTTATTGCATCTACCAAATACTAACTCAAGTGAATATGAATTTTGTATTTCAAATAATTGATTAATTAAATTATCACATGTTTCGATTAGGCTTTGTAATTTAATTTTAGATAATGACAGTATTTACAAGGATATAAAAATTATATTTGTTAGAAGATGCATATGTTTTTTTACAAAGGCAAGCACTTATAATTCCAACTAATGACACTGAAATTGTTGAAAATGAATTTTCAAACAGTTAACAATTATTAAGTAATGCCAAAACCCTATCAAAAATATTATCAAGTTTAGATAGGAATTTACCAATACCATAAGATTTTGTTAAGGTTTTTACATCATTATAATATGATAACTCTGCTATTGATATATGTTTTTCGAAACTTGGTTCGATCTATTGTAAATATAGAATAATGAATTAACTCATAGATGAAGAACTTTTAATTTTTGAATCTTATCAATATACTCTTTTAACTCAAAATAACATGTGCGAATAATTAAATAATATTTAGATTAATAAATTTATTGTATAATGTAAAACTTCGCAAGCATTGATGATTTCAATGATTAATGATTAAAGTGAAATCTTAGATTCATTACTTATCTAACCTATCTACAATTAAACATAGCATTCCATTTTTAAAGACAAATATCTCATAATCTATGAAACATTAGATTCATTATGTGCTTTATTTGTGATTACATGGTCTACTGATTAGAGCTATCTCTAATTATAATAATTAGTTTTGAATGGTTAGGATTATATGGATTCCAAGATAATTAGCAAGATAAATAATGTCTAATTTTATCAAAGCAATATTTTAATAATTTATTATTCATACATGATCTTGCACATAAACCTCATGGATTATACTATTATAACTTAATTAATTTTAAAAAATCATGCTGTTTAATACTTTTAAATAGTAGAATCCTCCAAAATGAATTCAGAAATGAAAATTTATTTAGATGATAGCATGGAGAAGACTTTCGAAATAAACTATAAAGAGTTACGAATCAATTCGTAACTTTCAAAAATAGAGTAAGTGAGATCTATCAACGAAGACATAATAATACAATTTTCATCATAGTTATATATTGTAAATAATGAATTAGTTTATGATATTTTACAATTAGGATCAAGTTAAGTTATCTATTTTAATAATTTGCCATTTATTTTGTTGTCTTAAAAATAAGGGCAGCTTTAATTTATAAAATTAATAGTTTACCATTCTATTTGAAATATTAGCAATCGACCTACTTAATGGTATTTTTTTGCATTGATATGATTATTCATGAATAAGCAACTATATACAAAGTTAACTTATTACCAAAAAATGTTACATTCTATTAGATCAAAATTCAACTAAATTTACGATTTAGATTCTATTCATTCCTAAGCTATTTATAATTATAAAAATAAAGTTATTGGATATCCAAGTTAAGTAACTTATTTTGTTGACAAGAATAGTGTTATGTCAGACATTTAACATTCAGAATTGATCTTCTAAAATCACTAAAAATACAGTTATTTTAATTTAGAAATATAGTAAATCCATCGTTAAAATAATCTTTAACATAAATCAGACCTTTACAATTTCCGATGAAACCAATGATCTCTATTTAAAACATTAATATAGATTTAATCTTGATTTATCCTAAATTTTCATTAGTACATTTTAGAGCGCATTTATAGTGAATGAAAAATAAACTCTATACTGTTATTCATATATTGAAACCAAATTTAACGCCTTTGAGATTAATTTATAAAAGAAAATTAATTATTTAGTGCAACAAATGGATTTATTATATATCTATTTTGAGAACTGTATGACTATGATCGTTGAATTCGTAAGTTTTAGTTTTAATGAAAAATATTAAACGTAATATTTAAATTGTACAACATTTTCTTAAGAAAATGCTTTAATTGTTAAAATTAACCATCATAAATTGATTTTTATAGAAAGTATACTTATACTTAAAGTATAAGAGCGCATAAAATTATTAGATTGCAATTATTTATATATAATAAAAAACTTATCATTTTTGAATTATCAAGAATAAAATAATTACTATTAGTATTTATATACATTTCCAACCTATTCATATATCATAGATTAACCATTAAAATATAAAATATTTTATACAATGATTGCAATCTTTGCTCATAATGAATAGAAAGAATAATATATTTTAGTATATGAGTTGTCAAAAAAACCTTAAACTCAATGATTTCAATTATCTAAGTAGACGAAAAATGCCACTATAATTCAACCAAAATACTGCCATTAAATGATGTATTTGGAAAAATAATTTCTGCCACATATCTTAATGGAAGTACATATTCTAATTTAACCTCTTTCACCCTTAAAGAGGTATAAATATGCTCACTTTTCACATAGAAAACTTGTATTTTTTAGAATAACAAAATTATTCTAAATTCTTTTGATTTAAGAATCAGTTTACAATTTGATGCGAATAAAATTATTAATATAATTATAATACTTAAAACTCAATTTAATATCTTTCTATATACAATAGATGAAAAATTGGTTTTAGAAAAACAAACTTACAATTTAGAAGGAAAATTAATCGATTAAGGTTGAATCCAATCGCAATTATAATTGGATTGGAATAGTGGAAATTCAATATAGGCGATAGGAAATTTCATGTTTTTTGATACAAATAAACAGCAAACTAAATAATTATTTGTTATTTAGAAATTATAATCTCCAATAATTTAGGATAAATGGGTAAAATGAATTTTATTTTATGTCTATTCGCAGAATTCCAAATTTATACTTCATAGCACATAGTTAACATCCAAATAGAAGCATATTGAATTTCTTATTTTTATCGTATGAGTTTGATATCATAGCATAATCAAATATTTTACTTAATAAAATTATATTTAGTGATGTAATAAATTTATTAGTAAGAATATCAGATTCAGAATTTGGTTATGAGAATAATAATTTCAAATTTGATATATTAGCTTGCTCAGTAAACTTAAATTGCTAATATATACAATTCTAATTTGATCTTAAATTTAATTTTTTGAGTCAAAGGTTTTGCATATTTTAAGATATGAAAAAGACTAAAATCTAAGAAGANTTATTCATATATTGAAACCAAATTTAACGCCTTTGAGATTAATTTATAAAAGAAAATTAATTATTTAGTGCAACAAATGGATTTATTATATATCTATTTTGAGAACTGTATGACTATGATCGTTGAATTCGTAAGTTTTAGTTTTAATGAAAAATATTAAACGTAATATTTAAATTGTACAACATTTTCTTAAGAAAATGCTTTAATTGTTAAAATTAACCATCATAAATTGATTTTTATAGAAAGTATACTTATACTTAAAGTATAAGAGCGCATAAAATTATTAGATTGCAATTATTTATATAATAAAAAACTTATCATTTTTGAATTAGTTGAAGATACTCTTTTAATGAAACAATATCAAGAATAAAATAATTACTATTAGTATTTATATACATTTCCAACCTATTCATATACCCTAGATTAACCATTAAAATATAAAATATTTTATACAATGATTGCAATCTTTGCTCATAATGAATAGAAAGAAGAATATATTTTAGTATATGAGTTGTCAAAAAAACCTTAAACTCAATGATTTCAATTATCTAAGTAGACGAAAAATGCCACTATAATTCAACCAAAATACTGCCATTAAATGATGTATTTGGAAAAATAATTTCTGCCACATATCTTAATGGAAGTACATATTCTAATTTAACCTCTTTCACCCTTAAAGAGGTATAAATATGCTCACTTTTCACATAGAAAACTTGTATTTTTTAGAATAACAAAATTATTCTAAATTCTTTTGATTTAAGAATCAGTTTACAATTTGATGCGAATAAAATTATTAATATAATTATAATACTTAAAACTCAATTTAATATCTTTCTATATACAATAGATGAAAAATTGGTTTTAGAAAAACAAACTTACAATTTAGAAGGAAAATTAATCGATTAAGGTTGAATCCAATCGCAATTATAATTGGATTGGAATAGTGGAAATTCAATATAGGCGATAGGAAATTTCATGTTTTTTGATACAAATAAACAGCAAACTAAATAATTATTTGTTATTTAGAAATTATAATCTCCAATAATTTAGGATAAATGGGTAAAATGAATTTTATTTTATGTCTATTCGCAGAATTCCAAATTTATACTTCATAGCACATAGTTAACATCCAAATAGAAGCATATTGAATTTCTTATTTTTATCGTATGAGTTTGATATCATAGCATAATCAAATATTTTACTTAATAAAATTATATTTAGTGATGTAATAAATTTATTAGTAAGAATATCAGATTCAGAATTTGGTTATGAGAATAATAATTTCAAATTTGATATATTAGCTTGCTCAGTAAACTTAAATTGCTAATATATACAATTCTAATTTGATCTTAAATTTAATTTTTTGAGTCAAAGGTTTTGCATATTTTAAGATATGAAAAAGACTAAAATCTAAGAAGAATTGAATTTTTGAGTCCAAAGTTTATTATTTTAAGTTTCTAAAATGAAGGGATCATAAAATCAATTTATAACATTGATTAATAGAATAAGTTTATTATAGATAGCCATCAACAACTAGAATTATAAGTTGATAATATTGAATAATATAATGATACCTATTTTACTGCCGTTAGATGCAACTCTAATTGTGAGGTTAAATTATTCTAACTTCACAACTATTACATACCATGTTTAGAGACTTGTGATGATTAATAAGTAAATTTATTGCTCAAGAATTAAGTAAATCAATTAAACTTAACTTATTAAAGTTTTATCTCAAAAGACAATTAAATATTACCAATAAAAAATTTGCTGTAGTAATTGATTATTATTATAACAGAACTTATATTATGCTTATTTTTATAAAAAGCGCAGAAAAAACATAAAAAATGATAAGTTCTAAAGAATTTTTTATTGAAGTTCATTTACATATAATCCATTAATTAGAACAATAATTTAATTTTCATTATGATATATTCATTAATTTTTATTATATTTATGAAATATATCATCACATCTATTTGAAGTAATTATGTATGATGTTTTAATTTAATAATTATTTTCTTATTTAAATTTAACTCTTTAGAATTATTCAATTTAATAACAAGTTTGAAAAATTGCTAATGCTTTTTTGAATTAAATTAGATTTTAATATAATAAATACTATAAATTATGTTGAAGAATTCATAGATTTAAGTTCCTGAAAGTTTATATAAAGAATTCAATATGATGATGAATCCGGATTATTTCTTTCTTTTGTCTTTTCTTAAGAAATTCTCTTTGAACTTTAATTCATCAAGCGTTAACAGGATGTAGCTTCTGTTATTGCTATTAATGTTTTCAACTGTTAGATTTTTACTTGGTTTAACTTTACAAATGTTCAAATAGAAGGAGAATCTTGCGGTTGCACATCGAATTAGTTATGTTGAAATTAATACAGTTGATTATCGTACTTTGAGCAAGTTGTAATTCGTTTTGTTGATTATATTAATCAGTTTAAAATTCATCCTACCCTTCTCTGAAAATATTATAATTAATTAAGCTCCTCACTTAGGTAGATAAATGAATCTTTCCAAGAATATGATTGATTTATTTACAGAAATATGATTCTAAACAAGTATTCTAATAGGCCTTTTATTTGCAAAGATAGAAATCTAATAAAATTTAATTCTAAACAAGATATTTTGAACTTAAAGGCTTCAATTTTAGCTCTTTTGCAAAAGTTTAACAAATTCAAATGATTTAATCCATAAATGATAAGGGAAATATATGAAGAGTTTCCTCTGACATAAAATACAAGAAATTATTGTTTATGAGATATTATTGCATATTTATGATAAATAATAAATTTACCTTATACTCTTATATTGTGTCAAATATCTTTCCTTCTTAAAAATATACTGTGTATAAAGAATTTTGAATTTTTATATAAAGTCTCATCAAGTAGTTAAGAGGTATAACGCTGCCCTATAGCCGCAGTATTCCGAGTTCAAGTCTTCGGGTTGATGAATTTTTATTAATTTATTTTTTATAATAATTGTTTTGTGACTTTTTTTATACATTTAATTAAAAAATAAATTTCATTGTGCATAATAAACTTCTAACAATTTATCAGAAAAATAGAATATCGAAGCATTTTAATCTAAAGTTACTTATTAATAATTTAGAATTTCTTTGTAAGAAAAAGTATATTTGTAAGTGAAGGTAATAAAACATTAAACTCATTCATCATCTAATAGAAATTTGAAACTGATAAATAAAATAATTCAGAAATTCGACTGCTGTGTTAGTCAAAAATTAAAAAAAAATATTTTTCATAATTATTTTCTAATTTAGCAATCAATTCTTTTATCGATTTATTGAAAATAGGATTAAGTAGTCCATTAAATTTAATAACAGATTTTCATTTGAAACCTTCTAATTAAGTAAACGATTCATTGAAACTTAAAATTCAAGAGTTTGAGAAATATGTTGATATAATCATAGCTTTTTGAATTCATAATAAATGTCTGAACAAATTGTTACTTGTTTTTCTAATTTATTTAGCCTTATTCTTTAATACTGCGCTATCTAAATTGCTGACCAATTAGTATCACCAGCACTAAATGATTTTAAACATTAGAGTATACTAGGATTATTTGTTGAGCAAGGATAAATTAATTTAGTCAGATCGTTGGATAAATAATAACCCAATAACAAATCATTCAATCATTAAATTTTTAATATATTTATCCCAATTTAAGTATTTCATTAAAGGTCTATAAGGCCGATACAAGTTTTATAATAAACTATTGGTTCTTATTGATCTTAATGTTATAGAGTTAGAATGGAAATTTGTTTTAAGATTCTTTTGATGAGTTTGATCTGCTCATACTCTATATTTTTTTTTTGAGATTTTACTTTTTTGAAGTGAAAATGATTCTAAATTAAATGATTATATTCATTAGATGTTATAGTTTATCGAACTTACCAAAAGGGATGATGGCGATTACTGTTTTAAATTATCAAAATTACTTTATCCTTTCCACAAGACACTTTTCTATTTCCTTCTTTATTTATTGCCAATCAAATACTGAATCTTTATGATCAGTTATTGTTTGATTGTTCAACTGTTGTTCTTAATTGAACCAAAATTGTATTGTGGTGTCAGATGGACCACTAACAATAAGAAACTCACTAGGATGAAGAGCTAAGCATTAGATCATTTTAGCATGGCCTGAAATTTTCTATATGTATTTTTGATTTGAAATTAGGGAAAGTGGCCAAATTATCACCGACTATGACCCTGACACAAAATCTGAATTATAATTAAAGAAATTTAGAGTTGAAACATCTTTCTTATGCTTTAAAGTAAATGTGAAAAAAGTTTAGTCATATAAATCTTAATTTAAAATAATTGTATCATTAATTAAATATGAATTAATCTAATTGATTAGGTTTCTGTTTCTTTTTATTACACATCCCAAAGTAATATTAAATTTACTCAATAATTATTTAGGATATTTCAATTAATACTTCAAAAGAAAGTAGAAATATATGGAACCAACCGCATTTTATTTTAATTTCTTCATTTATATAATTAGCAGCTTCTTTTATGTAAACAAAAGAGCTTAATGTAAAAATGAATACAGAACTTTAAATTGCCATTTATAAAACATATGATCTGATAATTTTCGATAGTTGTAAACTAGTTTTAATTACAAAAGATTGATTAAGGAAATCAATCCTAACTAAAAGATTTCTGAACTTTCTAGAAAAATCAAGGAGCCTATGAAACAAAATGAAACTCCTATATTAAAAACCTCAAGTCTTTTTTCTTTTAACCTTTTAATTTTAATCTAATTATATTTAGGGTATAAATTGTTTGAATTAAGGATAAAAATTATGTAAAAAAATATTAGAACTAAAGCTAGCACTAAAGAAAAGATCTCTCTGAATTCATTATCGTACAAAAAAAAAAATTTTTCAAGTAAAGCATTCCTTTAAATATCAGATCCCATCCGTTTACTAATAATATTGTTTTTAATCCATTTTTACTAAATAAATCTACTACTCCAATTAATTATTGACATCTTTTATAAAGCCACAAAAAAATTTTAGAAGAGACCTATTAGTCTGAAGTTTTGCTATATTAAACCGAATATCTGTATATTCTGGTTCTGAAATAATTAGATAAAATGAATTTCTTGGTTCCAATTGATAATAAAATCAAAAGTATATAAAAGGAAGATTGGATTAATTACCATTCAAGATTTGTTAATAAATCCACATTTAATTATAAAATTGGAATTTCCCTTTTGCTTCTTTAAATTAATTGTAAAGCAACACTCCTTCTAATTTCTCAACATTTAATAACTAATAGAGTGCTTCGATAGATAACAAGTCATAAGATTCAAAATAGAGAAGAAGGTTGTAAGGAAAATTCACATTAATGTATCTAAGATAATTTTGAAATGATAATAAGTTGATTATTTCAATTAAAACTTCATATCTACCTTAAAAAATCATTAGAGTGCAAACTCCACATTATGAATAAAGAGCGTATCTAATCAACCTTTACATGATCTCTGATTAGTATGTCTATTTTTCGTTTAAATAAGTAGGAAATTATAAGGTTGTATGATATGCTTTTATAAAGAGCATGGAATCATATTAATTAGTAATTCCTTCAGGGAAGTCGATATTTAAGATAGGTTTGAATTCTAGAAGTTAAAATATTTCAATTTCTAACAAATACTCAACAATTTAAATGGTACTGCTTATCTCTTGGCTACTTTATGTCTTAATGATATATTTGGATTGATGCATATTTAATATTGAATAAATGAATGCTTCTAAAAGTATTCGATTTTTTCCAGCTTTAACAGGCTAACTAAAGGTAAGTGTTACATATTATTTATTCCAAAGCATCTTTTTGTATCGAATAAGCAATTTAGGATATTGAAAATATGAGCACTCACTGAAGGTTTCTTAATTGAGTCGTTTGCATACCCAATTTAATTGGACCTAAAATTTATGACAACCATCCAATACTTCACTATTATAATCATCACATTCTTTATACTAAATGAAGTCGCATTGATTATTTGATAATAATTAGTACTCAGTATTACATTATAGACAATACCCATTTAAACATTCTTAACAATTCAAAGGACATGAGAATTTACATAAATAACATCCATCATATGGTATATTATTGCCGTCCTCACATTGTTCCAAGTTTGTTATAATTTCATCCCCACATATTGATATGCAAGATTAATCCATAAATACGAAACCCTCTTAACAGTATTAATTACATACTCCTTCAATACATATTTTACAATTTTACTGACATTGGAATTTGCAATTAAAACAGCCATCATATGGAACTGAATTTCCATAACCACATTCTTCAATTCCTAATATTTAAATACCATCTCCACAATGTGGATAACAATATCCATTCAACTATTAATATCCAGCTTCGCATTCCTTACATTTATATTCTTCTAAAACAAGACAATTATATATTTCAGGATAATATTAGGGAAAATTGTATTCATTATTCAATATAATATATCCCATTTCACACTTTTGACATTTCCCAAATTCACAATATATACAATTGACATCGCATTTAAATTTTACACTCATAACATCCATCATTTTGAATATCGTTACCATCATCACATTCTTCAAACCCTTAAATCATTTGATTTCTGCATAAAGGATAACATTCGTTTTGGATTTCTTCAAATTCCCATCCATCTAAGCAACTAACACAATCGTTATTTATAACAGAATAGCAATTACGAATTTCAAGATTCAAATATATGTCATCCAGTTAATTATACAATTCAATATCTCTTATATATCCTTATTCAATTTCAATAATTAAATTTGGGGCTATGTGATCATTAATTATTAATTCAATCTAATAAAAGTCTGTTGGCTATGACACTACATAATTCGCTCCATTGATTTTGATTTTTTTAGAACCAATAGCATACTTCCGATAAAATCTTAACATTACTCCTTTATGAGAAGGTAGGACTCCAAAATATTGAATTCCAAATTAGTAAAGAAAATGACAATCAGCACATAAATTAACTGATTAAATATACCATTCAAATGACTACCATCCTTAAAGATTTGAAAAGCGGTATTAATTAAAATTTAAGTTGAGAAGTTTCCATTTATTGCAAACCAAATAATCAAAATTGTCACAAACCTCACATCCTTATGGGCATCTTTCAATATAAAATTGAAATGTTCTAATTCCACATTGCGACTCAAATAAGTAAAATAATATACCAATCCTTGTACTTCCAAATAAATTGAAGAGGTTCGTTTTCTCTGTGGATATTATAATATTATATTATCAAAATAACCATATGGAGGCAGTACATTAAAACTTGATTATGTGACATTATTATACTACTTATTGTACGCCTATATCTCATCTAGTTACACAATTAGTTGTCCAGGATTTATTAAGTTGTTACTTATTTTAATAATAAATTATTACAACCAAAATTCCATTTTCACTTTCACCTGATAATGAGGGCTCAAATCTAAGATCATTCTACTAATTTTAGGAGAATTCCCTCCATATAGGAATACATCACTATTGGTTAAAAAAATAGTAGACCCTATAAAAGTTACCCATCCTAAGTTTGAATATAAAGTATTAACCATCAGCTTTGTTAGTAGCAGCATTAAATTAATAAATCAATTCTTCGTAGTTCTGGACAGGCAAAATCATTGTGATTATAAGAAATATCATTTAATTAATTAAAAATCATTCTACATAAATTTCTCAAATAAGGAAGAAATTTATGAAAAGTGTGTATTAAATAGGTGTTAATATTGATTTTAGGAACTGAGTAGAAGAAATAAAGGAAAATTTATTTTCTTCTTATACTGCTGTGTATTTAAATAAAACTAACTTCAAAAATATTCTTCTCAAACCAATATAATAGAAACTGAATTTCTATCTATTAGCTTTAATAAACAATATGAAAATATTATGCACTTACTGAAGGATTTTGAAGAAATCCTTCATTTGCCATAAATTATTGCAGTTTAAAGTACCTTAAAATAACAGCTAGTTGAATCAGAGAGAAGTCAAATTTTATTATTTAAACATAACTCACTGTGTGATCCTTTAAATTAGGATAGTATTACAATGTCAAATCTAATATAATTTTTACTCCCCTTATAGGATATAGAGATAAATTATATTGTTACTATGTAAATTATGAGTATAATAACGAGCAATGCAGAAGGATAAATTTTGTCCAAATAAATTTCATTTTTATTAGCAAATAAAGGTAAATTTTCTAGCACATAGACAAGATTAGTAATCAACATATATATAGAGTAGATCAAATTTCTCCATCTTTTGATATTTCTAAGACTTAATGTTGTTTTAATTTTAAACTTCATACTTATTCTAAATTTTATCTTGATTAGATAAATCTTATTTCAGAATTAAAGAATAAAAAAGTTAAATTTATTAAATATATGTTATAGATTTCAATTCATTAATTAAATTGGTGATATTTTAATCTATAACAATTTTAACTTTAATTATTAATAGAACAAATTTTTAAATCAATATCAAATTTCTGTATTTATGTATTCATGATATAATATTTAATTTTTGAGTTAAAGTATAAAGAACTTTTCTGAATGTCTAAAAATGCAGAGAAATAAATAAAATTGTTAGCCAAATAGGTGTTATTAGAATTATTTTTTCTAATAAATAAACAAAAATAATATAGCTATAAGATGATCTTAAATAAGTTTTTTGCAAATCATAGCAGAAGAAAGAAATCAAAAACAAAATCTCATTCGAATTTTCTCAATTTTGTGAAGAGGCATTAGTGTTTATGACCTTTAAGGTTTGATAGGATTTTTACTTTAATGTGAAGCATAAATTTTATACTATTCTCAAAATCAGGTCATTTGAAATAGTTGGATGAAAAAAACAAATTTGGTTTTGAGTATAGGCTTGGATCAAGCAAAATTTTTACAAAAAAAAAAGATAATTTTTCAAGCCTGAAATATTAAACTAATTATCAATAAAATTCTATGCTCAAATTGAATAAATTCAGAAATTAGTCATCTCGAATAACATAGCTTTTTATTCTAATTTTAACATATTTTTAAATTTCCGAAAGGTTTTGAGTATCAATTTATGAAAGAAGAAATTAATATTCAACTAAAGAAAAATTAGGATCAAACTATTTTATACTTATTTAATATTCCTCATTAATAGCAATTAAAAACTTAATTATTTTTAGAATCTGTATTATTAGATTTAATTATTTAATCTAATACAGGATCATATAATAAAGATAACTATTGTTTAAATAATAAATTATATAAGTCTTTAAATGATAATACTAAACAACTGAACCTAAAAAAATGTTAAGGAGTGCTTTATAAATCTAGACGTATTAATGCTACTATGCTTTTGAAGCCATTCTAAAACCTAAAAACTTTGATATAGTGACTGAAAATTAATAATCCTAAATTTCTGTGCTGCTTAGAATATGAAAAAGTGGCTTATTGAAATATGAAGCAGGATTCCAATTATTTAGATTTCCAACTGATATAATTTGTCCATAGATATTATAAAATTTTACTTATCACCAATTTATACAAATATATCAAATGTAAATATTTAATTAATCAAACTAACGAATAGTTCTTTTATCCAAATTATGAATCTAGTCGATAAGATGATTGCAATTTTAGCCCATAAATTAGAGAATTTTAACACTCAAAAAGTGAAATCAATTTCTTGTTTCGGTTAGGAGTAATTTTAATATTACAGTTATAAGACTCATATGAGTAATAAGTTAGGATAGGAAATTGCAATCAAGATATAAATTATATAATTTATACATGGCCATTTATAAATTTTATTTTATTTCCTTTTCAATTAGGTTGATAATATTTGAACTGATAAAATGAAAATCTACATTAAATAAAATAAGAACTTTAAAAATTGAAGATCAATCGTTATTTATTTCCTTAAGAGCCCTATAAATAGGTAAGAAAAATTATTATCATTAACATTAACTTTTTTACTTAGTTTACGTTTAACTCTCTAATTACATCATAAATGAGAAATTTATATCATACTAGAGATAGAAGAACCTAAAAAATGCAAAACCTTGTTCGAAATATCTAAATGTAATATCTTGATTTTATTAGACTTGGAATAAAGCAGAAATTGTGAAGAAGAGCAGCTATAATAGTCATAAAATGGATCTTGGTGAGCAAATAATTTCAATAAAGGGATCTTGATAATGCAGATACAATAAGAGATTCCTATATATGATGATACAGTATCCTGCTTCCTATCATTTTAGCATCAAGTTTGGAGTTTAAGTATTTTAGTGTTCATTCGCGTTCCTATTTAACTAGGAAGAAGTAAAAGTAGATATCATGATGCACTCCTATTCTTTCTTTTAATGATCATGATTTTGAGGTATAATAGTTTCCAATCCTTAAATAATCTATTATTTTAGGCCTTTTTACAGCACTGATTAAATCTGTCACTGATTGAAGTCGAATAACATAGTTACTATGTAGCTCCTTTAGCATATTTAGTGGTCTGAATTTCCACTGATTTTATGAAAATAAAAGTAATTAGCACATAAACATCCTTTGTTGTTTTAAGAAGATTGCGCCAAGTTTACGAAGATAGCATTCTTTAATTATTTCATCTTGAAAACCAAAAAAAAATCTTCAGTATCCTGCTTATAATCCTTATTATAAATATCTATGGAAGATTCTCAAAGGTGTATTCTGAATTTAGTTTTCAATTTACAAAATTTATTTAAAAGGGCAAGCATAATTTGAATCATATAAGAAGAGGAGTTGGGGTAATTCAAGGAGGAATGTTGCAAATAATTTGATATATATTCCAATAGACGAAGAGCTTATTCGCTTCCCCCTTTGTATTCTAAAAGTCCTCTTTTTATAAATGCTTTTAACTTATTATTCCGATTTGAGATGCATTCACACTAGGTTTTATTTTCAGCTATTAATCAATGGGTATCTATATTCATCTTTGAATAACTTTTTGCTGATTAGAAAGATTTGTTCCCTTTAAGATTCAATTAAAACATACTTAATCAAAGATTTATGTTACATCATAAGAATATTATTTTTTATAGGATGAATTCCGCCTCATCAGATGAAAATATAGTTTTTCCAATACTAACACTAAAAGTCTTAAATACACACCTCCAACTCCATTAGATATATATAACTTGAAGCTTCATGCTCCTAGTTATATCATACATCTCATTTTACTACAATTATTTGCCATATAATGATGCTTATACAATTGTTTGATACAGGATATTTTTAGGCAACTGCATCTGTAGTAATGCTATGGCTGGAATATTGCTAACCACTTGAAACATTTCGAACTGCTGGTGACTAATATAAGTAGTATTTGTATTCTACTAGTGCTTTTAGTCCTATCACTTCGTTCGTTGGCATGCTATATACATTTGACTTATGTATTTTATACCATTTATACAACTCTAGGTAGTTCTTGAATTATCAATATGCGCAACTTCCTTCCAAACCAATCTAAGCTTCTTCTAAGTTGTTCCGAAAACGCAATTGTTTGCATGATATTGGATTGATGTATTCATCCTGGATATGATGTATTTCTTTTTGTTTGGAACCTCGCCTGCTTAATGCAATAGATGCTTACACTACTTGCAGAACAGCATTATTTCTAGCCTGTTTTGAAGCTAATATCTATTATCCGCTTTAAGTTCATTTCTTCTGCCTCTTGTTTCTTTAACCATCCCTTTTCAAAAAGTTATTTTAAATTTTAACAAGATTTCTCTTAGAATTTTATAAAAAATTTCTTTTATGTTATGACAGCTTTGCAGATACAACATTTTGCTTTCAATTCTCCCTAATATACTTCAAGCTTTATTGCTAGATGATAGTGTAAAAAAGTCACAATCGTCTGGGAATAAAACTGGGAGATATACGCCTTAAATTCTCATTATAGTGCTTTCTATCATCTTCCTTGCACAAAATATTCATGAGTTATTAATAATTGCGAAGTGTAAAAGTGAGCATTAAGTATGAGGCATTATATAACTGAATAAAAAAGACTCTCATTGGGAAGTAGGTAGTATGCCTTCACAAAAGGAAAAATTTAATAAAATGCAATTCTGTTTTTAAAGTTTTTTTTTATATCCCAAGCAGTAATTAATCCATCNATAATTTGAATCATATAAGAAGAGGAGTTGGGGTAATTCAAGGAGGAATGTTGCAAATAATTTGATATATATTCCAATAGACGAAGAGCTTATTCGCTTCCCCCTTTGTATTCTAAAAGTCCTCTTTTTATAAATGCTTTTAACTTATTATTCCGATTTGAGATGCATTCACACTAGGTTTTATTTTCAGCTATTAATCAATGGGTATCTATATTCATCTTTGAATAACTTTTTGCTGATTAGAAAGATTTGTTCCCTTTAAGATTCAATTAAAACATACTTAATCAAAGATTTATGTTACATCATAAGAATATT